AATCGCTGCCTTTTCGTTGACTCTTGCTCTTTCTTTACCCGAGGGATGATCCCAAATAAACAGGTATGGAAGCTATAATTGTAAACCACGATCGAATTTATGGAAGCATTGGTTTATACATTCCTCTTAGTATCGACCTTAGGGATAATTTTTTTCGCTATCTTTTTTCGAGACCCGCCTAAAGTTCCAACTAAAAAAATGAAATGATTTTTCATTATCTCAATTGAAGTAATGAGCCCCCCAATCTTGGGGGGCTCATTACTTCAACTAGTCCCCGTGTTCCTCGAACGGATCTCTTAGTTGTTGAGAGGGTTGCCCAAAAGCAGTATATAAGGCGTACCCGGTAAAACTTACAAGTAAACCAGATATAGAGATGGCGACTAAGGTTGCTGTTTCCATTATTATATAACTTCAAGACCACGATGGATCTATGATAAGATCTTACAACGGAATGGTATACAAAGTCAACAGATCTCACTGAATACAAAATAAGATTTATGGCTACACAAAGCGTTGAAAGTAGTTCTAGATCTGGTCCAAGACGAACTGCTGTAGGGGCCTTTTTGAAACTACTGAATTCGGAATATGGTAAAGTTGCCCCTGGATGGGGAACGACTCCTTTGATGGGTGTTGCAATGGGTCTATTTGCGATATTTTTATCTATTCTTTTGGAGATTTATAATTCTTCTGTTTTACTGGATGGAATTAGAATGAATTAGATTTTTCAATCTATCAATCTAAAAAGCGAAACTTTTTGGTCTCAGATTTTTAGCCCAGTCTGTTTTGGTAGTTCGACCGTGAAATTTTTTTGTTTCTGTAGTTCCGGAATATGAGTGTGTGACTTGTTATAATTGATCCTATTGATAGTACAGAAAATGAGTCTGTTGTCTTGATAGAGATAGTTTTACTCCATCGGGATATTATCTGGAGCACAGAAAATATGAAATGGATAACGAAGTATTCGAACTATGATTCATACGTAATATTCAAACCTCGCAGCCGGATTCTAAAAAAAATTCAAAGAAAGAGTTAAGGAGTTAGATTCTAAATAGAAATCAA